CTTAATTATGCATATACATAGTAAGTATGTATGTATAGTATACATATATTCATGTAATTAATAAACTTAATGACTAATCAGGGACTCGTTGATGCGTTGCCACGTCTCAAATATGCACTTAAACACCTAGAAAGAATTTAAATTTATGGTAGTATAGTAAGGGTTCAACTCCTCTGCTCGACATCAATCCACATAATCTCCAAAATTCATCTTCTTCCGCTCATCTTATTCTTCTCATCATCTTCGCGCTTGGCACTTCGGTCTGAGCAATGAAATTTTTTTTATTACACATGACTTATTCTTATACATTTTTTTTTTTTTTAATTTTATTAAATTTTTTGTTGCCAACTTTTTTTCAATTTTTGTTTTTGCTTTTGCCAATTTCAAGTACAATGTACAATTTTATTGCTCTACCAATGCTCTCGCGCTTTACCACTTAGGCTCACCAGTGCCGTAGTTGGCGCCACCTGCGCGTTCCAAGGCATCACGGAAAAGTTCAATGTCCAGTTCATCATCCACGCCCGCATATAACTCGACAGCAAAATTCTGTTTCGAATAAAACAAAACAGGCATATTATATATGTAGATAGGCTTGTTCATACAAACATATATGTATGTATGTAAGTACATCCATACACACATATGGTATTGAAAAAACAGTTGCACATTTAGTGATAAATAAAAGTACAGTCAGCCATTGGGTGCACCATAACAGCTTTTCAACGACATACATATGTATGTACATTAGACTGCATCACTCCCTATACAAAAAAAAAATTGGTACTGTTTTTCCATTGGAATTATAAAATCTATTATATTTTAAGACGTCCACCAAAATATTTCGGAAAAATTTTAAGATTTAAGCGAGCTGGACCGATTTGAAAATACCTCCAAAAATGGAATAAAAATAGTTTCTTAAGGAATTTTTGAAAAAAATCCCCTCAAATGACTAAACGGTTAAAGCTTAAAAAATTTGCATAAAAATATTTTTAAAAAATTTTCAACGTAATCTTAATAATGAGATTTTTGATGCTGTTTTTTTTTAACATTTTTCAAAGATTGGTATAAAGAAAACTTGAATAACTGAACCTAAACTCTTCCGATTTAGACTTGTGAGGTATCATTGGAAAGGTATTTTCTCGCCCTTTTTATTTCTTTGCTAATCAACTCATTCAAAGGATGAAAGAGAAAGGTCGGTTGAACGAACATCATTCAAAGTTGAATTAAGATGTGTTGGTATTTGAAAAAAAAAATTAAATAAAATTGGGTCACGAATAACTCTTTTTTGCACATAAATAAAAATAGTGGGAAAATACCTTTCTACCGAGATCCCATAAGTCTAAATCCATCTATCAATCTTTGAAAAAAGTAAAAAACAGCATAAAAGATCTCATTATTACGATTCCGTTGAAAAGAATTTTAAATATTTCTATGCAGATTTTTTAAGCCTAATCTGCTTTCTCATCTGAGGGGAAGTTTTTCAAAAAATTATTTAAGAAACTATTTTTATTCATAAAAACTATATTTTGGTGGTATTTTCAAATCGGTCCAGCTCACGTAAATCTTAATATTTTTCTGAAATATTTTGGTGGTTGTCTTAGAGTATAATAAGTTTTGTAATCCCGGCGGAAAAACCGCAACTTTTTTTGCTGATGCAGTCTAATGTATGTACATACATACATACACACAGGTATTGAAAGTGAACACTTACACTTAGCACCTCACGCACGAGCGCTTTATCTGTGGACATTTTGGCACGTGGTAATACGCCGACATACTGGCCGATCCACGTCAGGAAGACGAATTTCTGTCGTTTGGACATCTCATCGCCCATTTGTATGCGGATGTAACCGAATGCGCGGTCGTTATCACCAAATTGCTCGCGGAATTCGGTGAAACCCTGACCGCGTGCAGTACAAGTAACGGTGGGTCCATGAAACTTGAAAACGGCCCTAAGAGAAGGACGTGCAATTTGTTATTTGTCGAAAAATAACTACTTATATAAAAAATTTGTAAATTGAAAAACTTACCATTCGGTATCTGTTTGATCGGATCGAACATCTTCGTAGGCCTCACGAATGGCATCTTTGTCGAGTTCCGTGGGTGAGAACATCTAAAAGTTAAAATGAAGAAGGATTAATATTTGGCAATGACAAAATATTTCCTCTATGTTCAGCGTATAAGGTGCACGTGCTGCCTCTGGTAGCGAAATTTATTTACAGCGGTTCTCTGCTTCAGTATAAAATAGAAAATGAAATAAACTCGTTAGATTAAAAAAAAATCAAATAAAAATAAAATATAATATGGACATATCGACGCCTCCAAACCATATTATGTTAAGTCTGACTAAGTCTAAGGTGACTTAGCATGGTATGGTTTGTAGGCGTCGATATGTAATAAATACGTACTTATCAGTTTCTATAACATAAATAATAACTCGAAACATAACTTTATAAATTTACATACACAAATATAAATATTTCAGAAGCAAATTTATTGTATGTTAATGTACAAATGTAATTAAATTGTTAAAAGTTTAAAAAACATCTAAAACAGTTCCCTGAAATCTAAATACCTCATTTCTTTATGTCATAATTCCGCGATCAGACTGGGACACTTTTCTTGCAATTATTTTGGATTGGTTAAGGTTAGTCAGATAAGCTTTTATTGTAAATATAGTCAATCATTTTTGCTTCTTATAAACTATATTTAAAATAGTAATGGACTATTGTGTTAGTGTAACTCAAATTAAGTAGAAATAAATATGCTAAAATTTGTTGGTTAGAATCAAATTGCAACTTTTAAACCATGAAGTTTTTAGTATTGGTACTTACTTTGCACTGGTGTCGAGTATAACAAATCGTTTGAAATGAAAAATATCTATACGTACCATTCATTACAAAAGTTCGAGATGCCTTTTACAGAAGGCTCTACATTTATGCAGATTGACCTTTATGAACGTTAAAAAAAAAATATATATATATATATATATTATGGAATATGTGTTGGCGTGTACTGTGGTGAAAAGGAAAATTGATGGAAAAGAAATACCGGTTGATGCACTACATTACATCAGATCGGTTGCAATATGAAATAAAAGTACTTGTAATTATTCATCTCGTTTTCCCTCTATGTATGTATTTTACATAGGCATGTACATATGTAAGTATGGAGTTCACATGCGTGCATATGTCGATAATATATCGTCATATCGTCGTTTAAAGTACAAAACCGCGTATCGTCATTCTGCAAAACCGCGTAACTAATTTTATTTTTTAATATGTACTTTTCTCTTGGGTTTGTGTGGATTATGTGATTTATGCACATGTACATACATATGTATGTAAGAATGTATGCATGCTCTCACAAAATATATTTAAACATTATTTACACATCATTTTTTTTTATACATTTGTATTTATGTACATACATATGTATGTTTGTGGATAGATATGAATAAATTCACACATGTTTATACATACATACCCTTGTCGTCAGCTGATTAAGCTAAGTGACATTTTCACCCGTTTTGGCTACTTTTCTTTTGTCTATTTAATGTTTTTATTTTTGTATAAAAGTTTAGCACATCACGTAACCAGCCCCACATGAATCCACATTTCAAACTTCGTACAAAAAAAAAAATAAACAAACTTTAACAATTACACCCAAAAATTTTAAACTTTTTTTTTAATTTTAAGAAAAATTTAAGGTATGCAGAAAATCGCGTTGATTTTTGATAATGTTTTTGGCTGACGGTGTTGGGCATTTTTTCACATATAAAGTATGCTCGACAATTATTAAAAATCAACGCCATTTTCTAGCGTTTTAAAATTTACACTTTAACCTACTAAAATTTAATGCGCTGTAAAACTGCATACCTAAAATTTTTAATAAAAATTTAAAATTGTTGGGTGTAATTATTAAAGTTTGTTGAATTTCTATAATTCTTGGAAGAAGTTTAAAATGTTAATTTATGCGATGCTGGTTATGTAAAGTGCCAGACTTTTATAAAAAAAAATATAAACATTAAGTAAACAAAACAAAAAAATAACCAAAAGTGGTCAAAATGTCACTTAACTTAATCAGCTGACCACAAGTGTATGTATGCACATATGTAACTACACATGAAAGAGCGTGTTTACACATATTTTAATCATCTGACTCATAGCCGTTGCCGGTTCACTTCTTTTTGCTTCAGTGCAACCATCGAATTCAAGAAATTCTTTGCGCGATTCTTTAGTGCCTTCCTTTCTTTAAGCATTTCCTGCGCACATTTCAGTTTTTATAGAATTTTTTTTCTTCAAATAAATCCTAAGATTATTTTATATTACATTTGATGATTAAAATTATCACATATGTACGTACATATGTATGTATGTATGTATCTCCATATAGCTCGATGGCTGAAAGAACCTATGAAGTGGCCAACTGTGATTTAAATAAACAAAAATACTTAATAACTAAAAATATGTAAAAAAAAGTATAAATATAAATTTTATACAATAAATTGGTACTTTACTTTGGACAGAGAGTGATTGCATTACAAGTATTGTTTTAGTGGCCAAACAAAGTGAAAACGAATGAGGTTGCATAGAAGATAAATTTAATTTTTACGTGACACATTTTAGAGAAGTTTGAAATTTTAGGTGAAACTCTGTAGAATTTTTGCGCAAACTCTGAACTTCGGATTGATATGCCTGTAGTTAGATAATTAGCTATACTTTTATAAAGATAAAATAAACGAAAATGAAATCAAGCAAAACTTGCTAAATTGTCGTGTCCAAATTTATATTTTTACCTTAGAAGGCCTGTTGGAAAAGTTCTTCTAAAGCAGTTTCTTTCATTAAAAAAATAATATTTCTTTAAGGTATTTTTTAAGATCCTTATCAAATATGTTTTATTCCAACTCAAAGTGGATGTTGAAGTTTTCGTAATGCTATATAATATCTAAGAATTTCTTCGCGTAAATAGCAAATAGGGAAAGTCTTTCTAGTGCTTTTTTGTAGGTAAGCACTGGGCTCCGTCCTTCTTAGGCACTCCTTTCAGAGTGGTTTAACTTAAGAAGGCCTACCTGAATTATCTTTTCGTTTACTGTATATCTACAGCTAATCCACAACATTTACATATACATACATACATAGTTAGGTATGTACATATGTATGTATGTATGTATGTTAAAATCCAAAGTGCTCATCGCCAAACGCTTTCATTTCATTTTAACGGTTAATTCATTAAATTATGTAGTTCGAATTCAATGTAAAGCCAAACAAAAATTATGTATTTCAGAAACATCAAAACTTACACTAATTTTGCAAAGCAAATGAAAGTGAAATGATACTCTGGAATCTAGCTTTAAATCGAAAGCGAAAAAGATGTAAAAGTCGAAAAAAAAATCATTTGCACAACAACGAATGGTCGAACGAACGAACTCATCTGAAATAAAGAAGCGCGATAGGCAGGCAGTGTGCGGCAAAAGGGGGTAATGGACATTATTGGGCTTAACTGTATGAGTAACACACAAGCAGACAGACAGTAGCTGCCAGAAGTCATGCAACTACTGAACACTAATTTCGTTTTGTTTAGCCGCGCGTCTCCAAATCGCAAGTGTGTAAAGCAAAGTAGTTTAGTAATTTGCCATTAATCAACAGGGAATGCATCTGCATAAATTTAACGATCAGCTTTGTAGAGGAAATATATGTAAATACATACATACGTATGCATACATATGTATGTATGAATAAGCATTCGTATTTATTTATAGCGGATACAATATTTTTGTTGGCTAAAATGAGTGTATTGAATGTTGAAAAGGCTTGCAATTTTATTGTTTCTCATTTTTATGATTTTATTGGCCTTTTATTTATTTTTATTTATTACAAAAGTTTTCATTTGTCCGTTTCTTTTTATTTGAATTCTGCTGACTTGCATTACTTTTATGGCGCTGTTAGATTGGAGTTTGCTTTATTGCTACTTTTGTTACTTTTTTGTATAGGTACATATGTATGTATGTTTGACGCAACGCGTTTAAGTGCTCTTGTATGTATGTATGTTCACATGTGTGCATTTTATTAATGATTTTCGTAAATTTTTGCCCATATGCGGTAAAAATGAACGCCGGCCGTCGTAGAACCCATTTAACGAGCGTTCGCCGTGCCGCGCCGCGCCGCGCAAATGCTTGCCGCATCAGCCGCATCACTCGCGTGCACTTAGTAACTTCCTCACACCGCACTGTGCGCTATTACCTAACTAAAATCACTCATGAGTATGTACAGGTATGTATGTGCATATGCACGCAGATGTATGGAGGTATGCATAGGCGGCAAATGGACTCATCATCCATTGAATGCGATTTGAGTATGCGCCGCAAGGTTATTAATAAATTTCAAGTTTAAAATCAGCGTAGGAAATGCACGACGAGTGCTGCGTGTGAGCTGCGTGCGAGTTGGCGGTCGGTCGGTCGGTCGGTCGTGTTGTTATGAAGTAGCTTCAACGTAGACGTTGCAGTCGGCGTCACCACTGTCTTTGCACCCACCCAGGCGATGCGTCGCTTCACCCATCATGAAGGTGAGAGTGAAAAAATACTTTACGTATGTTCATAGTATGTATGTATGTAGGTATGTACGTACAGTGGACTTCCAGTATAACGAACTTTCGGTATAACGAATTTATCTCATTGATGTTTATATATTACGAACGCAAACGATTTTTATTATTCGATATAACGAGTGCTATTTATGTTTTTTAGCAGAAATTTCGCGTTATTTTCAAAAGCCAAGGTATCGTTAAGTCAATGGAGTTACTTTTGGGATTTGAGAGATTTGCAAAAAATCGCAGTGAAGAAGAGCTTGGAAACTGTTAAAAGCGCAAAGGCGAATTAAAGACTTTTTCTTTAGAAAATAAATACATAAAATGTTCGAATTTTGTTGTTGTTGAATTAAAGACAATACATTATTTTTTAAACTGAATGCATTTAGTTATTTAATTGACTATTATATAAAAAAAACACTCGATTTAACGAATTTTTCGATATTTCGAATTAGACGAACAACATAAGATTCGTTATATTGGACGTCCACTGTATAAGCAATGGGGGTGCAGTTAGCTAAATGCGGC